ATAATTGTTTATAGATTACTTGAAAAAGGCTGCAATGACAGCCGAAACGTTGTAAATTAAACTAATTATTTAAAATAAATTATTGCCAGTCTGGTCGACTTTAAAATTGGAGGAGAGTTTTTCATTATTTATTACTGGCGACTCTTAAGGATTATCATTTATTTATTTATTAGTCTAAGTTATTTATTTATAAAGTTTGTAATTAAGAATTCTTAATAAAAATATTACTTTAATTTAGTAAAATAAAATTAAAATTAAAAACTTATTAATATTTATTTGTTTCTAAGTATCTTTTTTCCTTGATTTTTTCCAGGAAAGACAAATATTTTTTTTTCTTTAAATTATTTCTAAGGATTCTTTTTCTAGAAGAAAACATCAATTTTTAAAGTAAATAACTAAAAAAAATTAAAAATATTTTGTTTACAAAGAAATTTTGGAGCACCTTGTAGAAAATGATATAATTTTGTAAGTTACAGCTTATTAATAATTATAACATTGATCATAACTATAGAATTAAATTTACACACACAAATACATACGCACGCATATACATACATGTGTACATACTCACGCAAATCACACATGTACACACACACGCACACACTAACATATGCACATACTTTACCTATACTACATACACATTATACACATGTATACATTATATACTTATTGATAATAATATTAAAATTTTAGTAATAATTTATGATCATAAATTTTAACCAATTTAGATATTTTATTCCTAATTAACAAAATATTTCAAAATTTTATTAATACAATTAATTTATTTTATAAAATAACAGGTTATAGCAGTTCAACATTTTAAATCAGATCAACCGAAAACCAAAAGAAATGGTAGAAACGCATCTTTATAATTTTATTATGAACAACAGTGAAATTATCATTCAAATTGCTGCCTGGAATGATTGAGCTTTTAAATATACATAATAACTTAAACAAAAGTAAGATATTTATATAATATTATAATAAAACATTTATAAATTAAAATAAATATTACATTAAAAACATTTATGTAATTATTTGTTATATTAATTAAAATCAATTATTAAATTTAAATTATTAATACAAAGTTTACCACTATTTATTGTGCCTATTAGCATTTATAAAATAATACTCTATGTAACAAAAAAAGCCGCGCCTAATTTCTTATTATAAATATTTTTAGAAATAAAGAATATAACGTAAAATTTGGACAAACATAATGTAAATATATAGGTATAGAGAAACTGTGTCATTATTTTCATTATTTTAATATATTAATGTGGAATAATATTATTAATTAAATTCTATATTATTAATTTTATTAATTACAATTAAAGTTATTCATATAAATTTAACGTATAAGACGGGCAACAAGAGCCAAATCGCGGATGACAATGCGTTATCCTAACGAAACTAAATAATTTTTCGTTAGAATTAAATACCGGTGCACAAGGCACCAAATTTTTACTTGGACACGGCCAAGATTTTAAATATGAAATAATCTCATATTTTGAGATTTAATTTCAATACCCCTTTAACCCCCCTACGGAAAATAAATAAATGAATGCAAGAGAAAAATATAGATCCGAAAATCGCTGAATCGGGAATCGAACCCGAGACCTTTCGCTTGCCGGGCGACTGCTCTTCCAGCTGAGCTATTCAGATCCTTTCGATTCTATACTTTTCTCTGTTATATATATTAATGTTGGTAAACAAACGCATTTTTTAAGCCAGCGTGTATCAAATATAAGAGTTTTAACAAGGCTCTGTAATATAAATATAAATTTAACGTATAAGACGGGCAACAAGAGCCAAATCGCGGATGACAATGCGTTATCCTAACGAAACTAAATAATTTTTCGTTAGAATTAAATACCGGTGCACAAGGCACCAAATTTTTACTTGGACACGGCCAAGATTTTAAATATGAAATAATCTCATATTTTGAGATTTAATTTCAATACCCCTTTAACCCCCCTACGGAAAATAAATAAATGAATGCAAGAGAAAAATATAGATCCGAAAATCGCTGAATCGGGAATCGAACCCGAGACCTTTCGCTTGCCGGGCGACTGCTCTTCCAGCTGAGCTATTCAGATCCTTTCGATTCTATACTTTTCTCTGTTATATATATTAATGTTGGTAAACAAACGCATTTTTTAAGCCAGCGTGTATCAAATATAAGAGTTTTAACAAGGCTCTGTAATATAAATATAAATTTAACGTATAAGACGGGCAACAAGAGCCAAATCGCGGATGACAATGCGTTATCCTAACGAAACTAAATAATTTTTCGTTAGAATTAAATACCGGTGCACAAGGCACCAAATTTTTACTTGGACACGGCCAAGATTTTAAATATGAAATAATCTCATATTTTGAGATTTAATTTCAATACCCCTTTAACCCCCCTACGGAAAATAAATAAATGAATGCAAGAGAAAAATATAGATCCGAAAATCGCTGAATCGGGAATCGAACCCGAGACCTTTCGCTTGCCGGGCGACTGCTCTTCCAGCTGAGCTATTCAGATCCTTTCGATTCTATACTTTTCTCTGTTATATATATTAATGTTGGTAAACAAACGCATTTTTTAAGCCAGCGTGTATCAAATATAAGAGTTTTAACAAGGCTCTGTAATATAAATATAAATTTAACGTATAAGACGGGCAACAAGAGCCAAATCGCGGATGACAATGCGTTATCCTAACGAAACTAAATAATTTTTAAATTTGGTGCCTTGTGCACCGGTATTTAATTCTAACGAAAAATTATTTAGTTTCGTTAGGATAACGCATTGTCATCCGCGATTTGGCTCTTGTTGCCCGTCTTATACGTTAAATTTATATTTATATTACAGAGCCTTGTTAAAACTCTTATATTTGATACACGCTGGCTTAAAAAATGCGTTTGTTTACCAACATTAATATATATAACAGAGAAAAGTATAGAATCGAAAGGATCTGAATAGCTCAGCTGGAAGAGCAGTCGCCCGGCAAGCGAAAGGTCTCGGGTTCGATTCCCGATTCAGCGATTTTCGGATCTATATTTTTCTCTTGCATTCATTTATTTATTTTCCGTAGGGGGGTTAAAGGGGTATTGAAATTAAATCTCAAAATATGAGATTATTTCATATTTAAAATCTTGGCCGTGTCCAAGTAAAAATTTGGTGCCTTGTGCACCGGTATTTAATTCTAACGAAAAATTATTTAGTTTCGTTAGGATAACGCATTGTCATCCGCGATTTGGCTCTTGTTGCCCGTCTTATACGTTAAATTTATATTTATATTACAGAGCCTTGTTAAAACTCTTATATTTGATACACGCTGGCTTAAAAAATGCGTTTGTTTACCAACATTAATATATATAACAGAGAAAAGTATAGAATCGAAAGGATCTGAATAGCTCAGCTGGAAGAGCAGTCGCCCGGCAAGCGAAAGGTCTCGGGTTCGATTCCCGATTCAGCGATTTTCGGATCTATATTTTTCTCTTGCATTCATTTATTTATTTTCCGTAGGGGGGTTAAAGGGGTATTGAAATTAAATCTCAAAATATGAGATTATTTCATATTTAAAATCTTGGCCGTGTCCAAGTAAAAATTTGGTGCCTTGTGCACCGGTATTTAATTCTAACGAAAAATTATTTAGTTTCGTTAGGATAACGCATTGTCATCCGCGATTTGGCTCTTGTTGCCCGTCTTATACGTTAAATTTATATTTATATTACAGAGCCTTGTTAAAACTCTTATATTTGATACACGCTGGCTTAAAAAATGCGTTTGTTTACCAACATTAATATATATAACAGAGAAAAGTATAGAATCGAAAGGATCTGAATAGCTCAGCTGGAAGAGCAGTCGCCCGGCAAGCGAAAGGTCTCGGGTTCGATTCCCGATTCAGCGATTTTCGGATCTATATTTTTCTCTTGCATTCATTTATTTATTTTCCGTAGGGGGGTTAAAGGGGTATTGAAATTAAATCTCAAAATATGAGATTATTTCATATTTAAAATCTTGGCCGTGTCCAAGTAAAAATTTGGTGCCTTGTGCACCGGTATTTAATTCTAACGAAAAATTATTTAGTTTCGTTAGGATAACGCATTGTCATCCGCGATTTGGCTCTTGTTGCCCGTCTTATACGTTAAATTTATATTTATATTACAGAGCCTTGTTAAAACTCTTATATTTGATACACGCTGGCTTAAAAAATGCGTTTGTTTACCAACATTAATATATATAACAGAGAAAAGTATAGAATCGAAAGGATCTGAATAGCTCAGCTGGAAGAGCAGTCGCCCGGCAAGCGAAAGGTCTCGGGTTCGATTCCCGATTCAGCGATTTTCGGATCTATATTTTTCTCTTGCATTCATTTATTTATTTTCCGTAGGGGGGTTAAAGGGGTATTGAAATTAAATCTCAAAATATGAGATTATTTCATATTTAAAATCTTGGCCGTGTCCAAGTAAAAATTTGGTGCCTTGTGCACCGGTATTTAATTCTAACGAAAAATTATTTAGTTTCGTTAGGATAACGCATTGTCATCCGCGATTTGGCTCTTGTTGCCCGTCTTATACGTTAAATTTATATTTATATTACAGAGCCTTGTTAAAACTCTTATAAAGTTATTCATATTTATTTGTTTTTAACTTTCTATTGTTTTTCAAGGAAAAACAAATATTTCTTTTTTCATCGTTTCTAAGGAAAAAAAAAGACGCTAGCAAAAAACCGTAGAGCATTTCTTGTGTGTATCGACTCCAAGACGGTTGTGTAGTACATTCATTTTCTTTTTAACGTAAGTATTAAAGATTATTATGCTGAAAATATCAGTATCAAAATTAATAAATTCTACTTTCACAGAGCAAAATTTTGGTATAAAACTCAATGTTGAACATTATTTATATTATTAATAATTGTTAAAAAAGCATTTAATAATATAAACACATTAATATAGGTTTAACATGGCTTTAAAAGAAATAACAAATACCAATTTGTTTACAAAAAAGAAATTTTGGAGGACATTATGGAAAACGATACGACTTTGTAAGTTATATTTTCTTAATGATTATGCATATTAATAATTAGTTATTATAAAGAAAATAAAAACTATAAAACTAAATTTACACACCTCGCGCGCACACAGTCACATGCATACATAAAAACACACACACACACACACACATACACGTACACTTAAATTTTCACATGTAACATACACATTATACATTTAAATATACATAGATGCAGATACACACAAATATACAAACGCATACGCACAAAAACACATATACATATACACATTATATATTTATTTACAATTATAGTTTTACATTAAATAATTTTAGCAATAATTTATAATTTCAAATTTTAATTATATTAGATATTTTAATTTTAATCAAACATTTCCTTATTTCAATCAAATAAATTCTTTCATTATAGTGAAATAACTGGCTACGTCAGTTCAATATTTCAAATTAAATCAACCACAAGAAATGGCAAAACAACGCATCTTTTTAATTTTATTATGAGCAACGGTGAAATTACCATTCAAATTGCTGCCTGGAATGATTTAGCTTTTAAATATGCAGACATAATAACTCAAACAGAACAAGTAAGATATTTTTATATTTATATAGTATTAAAATAAGATTTTTTATATATTATTATTTATATAACATTACATTTTAATATATTTATATAATATTATTTATCATATTAATTAAAACAAATCCTTAAATTGTATAGGTTTATTCTCTACAAAAAGTGGTACCTAAAATCCCTTTGAGGAAAGAATATTTACATAATGCTTCATTTCCATACGAATTATTAATCCGAAGTTCCACTATTGTCGTTCCTATTGGCATTTATAAAATACCAAAAGAAATTGAAACAATTTCTTTGATTAAAATGCAAAATGCCAGAACCAAAAGTGGTTTAATAATAGGTAATTTAATATTATAATCTCTCTTATATGTTAATCAATATATTTAAATTTAAAACTTTTTGATTATCCAAAATCAAATTTTGATTTTTAATTGTAAATTTAATAATAATAATCAAATATAACAATATCAAACATAATAACAATAATCAAATATAACAATTTAACGATATCAAATAATAACAATAATCAAACATAACAACAATTATCAAATATAATTAAATATACTCAGTAAACACAAAGTAACTGTAACATAACATATATATTAAAAAGTCCGTTTTAATAAGATAACAGTTACGTGACATGCTCTGTTATATAACAGTTACATTATAGGAACAGACATTTTAATATATATTATGTTATTATTATTTTGTGTTTACTAACATAATCAAAAGAATTTAATTTAAGTTTTAGTAGAATATGCTTCTTTTATTTCAACTATCAATTCTGAAACATTCTGTATATTTGTTTTCATTAAAATTCCTAATTATATGAATTAATTATTATCTAAAATATTTTAATTTTCTTTTCAGAAATGGAACATCATATAAAAATGATTTTTAAAAAATCATCTAATAATCATTTTTACATTGGAGCGATTACAGATGGTTATTATAAACTGTCTGTTTTAATAACATGTAATGGAGAATTTACAGATAATTTCACTTACGGCTCACCAATTAAAGTAATAGGAAAAATGCAAGTACCTGAAAATAAACCTCCATATCTTTCAGTTTTGTCAGTGGAAAATGTGCAATTAATTGACGGCGAAAAAATGTCATTTTTGCAAACCTTAAAAGGATATCATCCTATTCCATAAATTTTAACAAAATTATTTTCTTTACGAAGAGACAATTTGATTTTAAAAATACAAATATTTTACATATTTAAAGTAATAAATAACATATTTTAAATACTTTAAATATTTACAATAAGTAACATTATATTTTAAATATTTAGCATTATTATACGTATTATTATATGTATTTTATATTAAATATTTAATACTACTATGTTTTACTTTCTCGTTCTCATTTGCAAATAATATATATATATATATATATATATATATATATATACAAAGTGTGTTCAAAAAGTATCGCGAATTTTGAATTTCCGCGGGTTACGTATATTCGATTTTCGATTTTTTTGTGGCGTTATATTGGTACTCATGTTTCTCATTTATGCCGACAAGTACGGCCATTTTGAATGTTCAGTTAATTTTTGACAGCTGCTTTGCTTGCACGTGTTTTGGCTCGTCTTCGATTTTTGCCTATTCCAAAAAATGGATCAAAGAATCTGTATCAAATTTTGTGTGAAAAACAAAATTAAGTGCGCGGACGCATTCCGAATGTTGACTGTGGCATATGGTGAAGCTACCTTGGACCGAAGCAACGTTTATTGGTGGTACAAAATGTTTTCCGAGGGCCGAGAAGATGTGAACGACGATGAGCGTGCCGGACGCCCGAGCACGTCAACAACAGACGAAAACATTGATGAAGTGAAGAAAATAGTATTGGTCAATCGTCGAATCACCGTTAGAGAAGTTGCTGAAGACCTAAACATATCAATTGGCTCGTGCCATTCGATTTTTACCACTGATTTGGGCATGACACGGGTCGCCGCGAAATTCGTACCAAAATTGCTCAATTTCGACCAAAAACAGCATCGAATTTTTGGCCAAAAACAACACACTAATAATGCCGCAGCCACCGTATTTCCCAGATCTGGCCCCCTGTGACTTTTTCTTGTTCCCGAAACTGAAGAGGCCCATGAAAGGACGACGCTACGCTACGATTGAGGAAATAAAGACAGCATCGAAGGAGGAGCTGAACAAGATCACAAAAAATGATTTTTTGAAGTGCTTCGAGGATTGGAAAAAACGTTGGCACAAGTGTATAATATCTGGTGGGGATTACTTTGAAGGGGACAAAATAGATATTCATGAATAAATAAATAATTTTTGAAAAAACAAAATTCGCGATACTTTTTGAACACACCTCGTATATATTGATAAAATGTTACAAATAAAATTCAGAAAAAGAATAAATAAATGATCTTCAATTAAATAATTATCTCCATAATTTTATCTTATTCAAATTCTGAATTTCTTTCTAGCTAATATGCGACTATAAATAGTTATTCAATTCAATTCAATTCAATTCTTTATTCGTCCCCTAAGGGATTGAAGGCGCTTTTAAAGGAGCGTTCCCCAACCTTACAAAACTCTTACAATTATACTTATATCTACTCTTATCTCTACTCTTACATCTAATTTACAAATAACTTAATTCTACCTTAACCTACTTATCTACTACTTTAGAGAGAGAAAGAACCGTCCCTACCTATCGCTTCGCTTCGGCTTCCGATTCCCCATATATTCTCCACCACCTCATTCATACCTCACTCATTCTCCTCCTCATACTTCCCTCGTCCTTTTCCCCTCCCTCCCCCTTTTCTTCCGTTCTCCCCTCTTCCCTCTTTTTCTCTATTTCTCTCATCCATCCTTCCCCTTCTCCTCCTTCCTGCAATATTCCCTTCATTCTTTCCCACCAGTTTCCCTTCTCCCCTTCTCCCCCACATTCTCCTATCACATGCTCCCATGTTTCATCTTCTATCCCGCATAACCTACATCTTCTTTTCTCCTCTTCTTCCCAGTATCTCGCCCCTCTCATCTCATTGTTCATTCTGAACCTAACTATCCTTCTCCATCTACTTTCCCCCCATCCCTTTCTCAGGTATTCCGGTAAACCCTCCTCCTTCCATTCCCCATACCATCTATTATATCTCGACTCTCTTATCCTCTCCCATCTTTCCTCCTTTTGCCTTTCCCTGTCTTTCTGTTCCCACCCCTCATATACTTCCTCTCCCCTTCCCCTTTTTTCCTCCATCTCTTTCCCTTCTATTCCTCTTTCTTCCCAGAATTTCTCCCTCTCTTCCTCCCACATCGTTCTTTCCTTTCCTCTTCTTATCCTCTCTTTCATATCCTCAAAACATTTCCTCGCTAAACTTCCTCCCCTTCCTTCCTCCAACTTCCTCTCATACCCTACCGCCCTCCTTCCTGCCCTTATCCTAAATTTGTCTTTTCCTATCTCCTCTCTTACCATATACCCCGGCGTGCACCAGTCTACTCCTAACGTCCACCTAATCCATCGCTCCTGCATTGCCTCCACCTCTCTCCTCTCCTTCCATCCCCATATTTCCGCCCCATATTCCAACACCGTCCCCACCAACCTTTCCATTAGCCATACTCTTTTCATCCAGTCTCCTGCAAACCTTCTCTTTCCCATTCCCCACACCTGTCTTATCACCGCTCCTGCTTTCCTAACTCTGTTCTTTACCTGCGCCTCCTGCCCCCCGTTCCTCTGTAGCTTATACCCTAAATATGTGAATTCTTTCACTTCCTCTAACCTTTTTCCTTTCCATCTCCACTCCACTCTCTTCATTCTTCCTCCTCCCTTTTTAAACCTCATTACCTTTGTCTTATCCACATTCACCTCTAACCTTTTCTTGTCCATATAACTTTTCATTTTCCCCAACATATGTATCATCCCTTCCTCATCCTCCGCCAACAGTACCATGTCATCTGCGTACGCCAAACAATGCACCTTTTCCCCTCCCAGTTTCACCCCCCCCCCAACCTCCTTTTCTTAGCACTTCCTCTATATCCGCTATCAGCAGACTGAATAAGTGCGGACTCATTGGGCAACCTTGCCTCACCCCCCTTGCCGTCCAAAAATTTTCTCCCTCCTCTTTCCCCACTCTTACCTTACTCCTCGTTTCCCTGTACACCTCTTCTATCCTACTCCTTAATCCTTCCCTCACTCCCCTCCCCTTCATTGCCTCCATTAACACCTCCCTATCTACCGAGTCAAACGCCGCCTTCAGGTCCATAAATGCCGCAACTACCTTTCCTCCCTTCTTATTTACCCTCTTATTCACCAGATAGTTCAACACATAGATACTATCCATCACCCCCATTCCCTTTCTAAAACCTGTCTGACTCTCCGGTATCATATTCTTCCCCTCCATTTCTTCCTTTAACCTTTCAGTTAAAATCCCCACGTATATCTTGTATAGCGTTGGCATCAATGTCACTCCTCTATAGTTTTCCACTTTATTCCCCGTTCCCTTTTTCAACAGTGGCACTATTATCCCTTCTTTCCACCTCTCCGGCCATCCTTCTCCTCTCCATACTCTGTTGCACATTTCCCATACCCACTCTTCTACCCTCTCCCCTCCATATTTCCATACCTCACTCGGTATCCCATCCTCCCCCGCTGCTTTTCCTTTCTTCAGTTTTCCCAGCATCCTCTTCACTTCCTCCCTGCTTATCTCCTGCTCCTCATCTCTCTCCCTTTTTTCTTTTCCTCCTCTTACAACTTTTACCTCTATCCCTCCCAATAAGTCCATGAAGTATTCCTTCCATTCCTCCGCCTTTATCTCCTCATTCACCCCTTCTCTCTTTTTCCTTTCCCTGTTTATAATCTTCCATACTTCTCCTTCCGTTCTTGCCTCTATCGCCTCCTTGTACCATCTTAGCCTCTCCTCCTCCCTTTTTTCTTTACACATTAGCCTATATTCCGCCCTTACTTTTCTATATCCTTCTCCTCCTCCTCCATTCCCTTAACTTTTTCCTCACTTCTTTCCTCTTCTCCTCACATTCCTCGTCCCACCACCCTTTCCTTTTCCCTTCTCCACTCTCTTTTTCTCCTTCTCTCAATTCCTCTTCTATTCTTCCTATTTTTTCCTCTAGCTCCTCTTCAATCCCCTCCTTCCACCCCTCTCCCCACTCTATTTCCTCTTTTATTCTTTCTCCTCCCCTCTTTGTCCATCTCCCTCTTTTTCTTATTCCTTTTCCCTCCCCCCTTTTTCCCTTTTCAGCTCCTCCTCTTCTTTCTAGCGTTACAATCAATGGGTGATGGTCCGATTCTATGTTATCTCCCACCTCCATTCTCTTTATCCTTTCCTTTACTCTATCCTCTCCCACCACATAATCTATTACCGATTTCCCTCTTCCTCCTGTATATGTGTACTCCCCCTTCCTATCCCCTCTTATCCCTCCGTTAAAAATTCCCCATCCCACCTCTTCCAACTCTTTTATCAACTTCTTCCCTTCCTCATTAACTTTCTTGTCCTTCGATCTTCTTTCTTCTTCCTCCTCCCCTCCTATCACTCCCCCCCTTCTACCTGTCCTTGCGTTGAAATCTCCTCCAAATCGTCCATTTATTTTCTTCTTTCTCTTCCATCCATTCCTTCATTTCCTCCAATTTCCTTTCCATGTCCCCGTTGATGTATACGCCTATTACCCTCCACTTCTCTCTTCCTACTTCTAAATCCGCCATCATTATTCCCTCCTCCTTTTCTCCCATTTCTGATACTTTTATCTTCCCCCTCTCCTCCCTTACCCCATGATCATTCCCCCCATCGGTCTTCCTTTCTTCTTTCTCTTCTTTGCTGCTTGCTTCTCCCATCTATATCCTTTCGGTAACCTCTTTTTAATCGCCTCCCACCCCCTTTCCTCTATCCATGTTTCCATCATCACCACCACCTCCCAATCTTCTATTTCCTTCCAGAACTTTATAAAAAGTTATTCATTATATTATATTATACTTATATTTTTCAGAGTATCAATAATACAGTCATAAAATATTATTTCTTTCTTTACTTGAATAATGACATAATATGTTATTTCGCTATAATAAAAAAAAATTTTTTATTAAAATAAAGAAATGTTTAATTAAATAAAATTAAAATATATAAATTAATAAAAATTTAAAATTATAAGTTATTGCTAAAATTATAATTTTACTATAAATATAAAATTATAAAAACTATCAATATTGGTAATATTTAAAAGACGTATTTTTTGTATTTTACATTCTAAATTGTAGTTAAAATTATATATATAATAATTCTGCTTAATTATTTTAGTTGTAATTACGTATAATCAAATTAAATAAATAGTAAATAAATGTGAATAATTATGTGTGTAAAATATGATGTATTTATTGATAAAATGCTACAAATCTTTGATAAAAAATTCCAAAAAAATATATAATTAATTTTTAATTAAATAATTATTTATCACACGCGCGTACTTACGCACGCGCACACAAACACACACAAACACATATACACAGACATACACACACATGCACACACATGCACACACATGCACATACACATGTACGTACACACGCACACTCGCACGCACGCACGCACAGTATAAAATTAAAATATCTATACTGATTCAAATTTTAAGTTATAAATTATTGCTAAAATTATTGATTAAATTATGCTAAAGTCATAAAATTATTATGAATTATTATAAAATTATAAAAAAATGTCAATATTTTAAATATTTTTTTAAATACTAAAAGATTATCATTTTCTACATTGTTTTTACGTTCTTATTTGTAGTTAAGATTATATAATATCTTATTTGTAGTTAAGATTATATAATAATTATAGTTATAGTTAATTATTTTTAATTCAAAATTGCAAGCTGTCAAACGAACATTGCATCGCTCATCGTCGCGCACTTCACGTCAACTTGCGTCGCGAGATCGATCGCGTCGCCACGACCAATCACGATCGGAATAAAGCGGCAACAATGGGATCGCGATTTTCGGCAAACTTCCTGGTATCACAGAGATTTTACTGTAGGGATAATGCTGGACGAATATAACTTTGCTTTTCCTTTAATTCTAACATATTTAATATTTTCCTTTTTTTTTGCATTTCTTGCGTGAAAAAACTGTTCATATATTTCTGTTATAACTTGATTATCTTTATCGTCATTATACATTTCATTTATTAAAATAGTTAAAAATACTTTGAAACTCATGTCTCTCTACTTCACACTTACATACAACAGTATAAATTATTTGACAGTTTTGAATTTGCGCGTATAGAAAAAAATCAACACGTTTTAGTGACATGGTTGCTGGTACCTATACCAAAAATAGTTCCGCCTCTACCAATAACAACCACGGTACATGTACCAAACAGTTGCCAAAAATCGCCTATTATAAAATTTAGAAATTCTGGTGCTTTTGTGCATGCATTGGTTTCTGATATGGGGTCTAATTTTATGCAGCTATCCCGTGAATTAGGTATTTCGACAGAAAATTCAACATTTTTAGTAAATGAAGAGGAAATTTTTTATATTTTTGATACTCCTTATTTAATGAAAGCAACTCGTAATAATTTATTAAAATATAATTTTAAATTTGATAATAAAGTTGCTTCATAAAATCATATAATCCAATTTTATAATAGAGATTCTAAACAATGAATAAAAATGGCTCCTCATCTAACAAAATATCATATTGAACCAAATTCCTTTCAACGAATGAAAGTAAAATATGCTGTCCAAATATTTAGCAATCGGGTAGCTGCAGGTATATGCACGCAAATGTCGTTTGGTTTTCTTCCAAGTGAAGCAGTTGGCATAATAGAACTTATTGAAAAATTAGATAAATTATTTGATATTATAAATTCATTTGCTTTAAATAATCCAAAAGAATATGGAGAAATTTATACTGGTAGTGAGAAACAAAAAGAGTTCTTAGAGAAAATGTTACATCTTTTCAAATATATTACAATAATTAATGCCAACGGTTCACGTGTTAATGTAAATATTAAATGTTTTCAGTGCTGGCAGATTACAATTAATAGTATAATGCAGTTATGGGATAAAAAATTAAAATTTTTTAATTTTCCTTATCTTCGAACACGAAGAATTAATCAAAATTGTGTCGAAAATTTCTTTGATACTATTATGCAACAAGGTGGTAATTCTCTGAATCCGACATCGATTTAATTTATGCGTGCCTTTAAAAAATTACTCAGTATTAAATTTCTACAGCATTCTGAATCTCAAAATTGTGCTCATGATAATTACCAAATGTTAAATTTTATTAAGAAGCCGTGTTCAAGTAAATGTTTAAATCAAACTATTCCACTTTTGCCACGTAAAATTTTAGATATCCCAAACCATGATTACTATTCCATGGATCTGCCAGAGGAGAATGCGTTTACATATGTGTGTGGATGTTTGATTAAAAAGTGTATGGAAATTCATTCCTGTAATACATGTATATTATATGTAAATGAAAATAACGCTGTTTTAGAGGACACTATATTATATTGTTCTTTTCGAGCTTATTCTAATGAAGAAAATAATTTATATGGCAATTTAAACATACCAAATAGCAATTTTTGTTTTTAAATCCATCAATTAGAAGAATTATTTGTAAAAAATTTTGAAAATAATTGTTTTAAAAGAAATATTGGCAATTATCTTTTTTATTTAGTGCAAACTATACTTTTTGAATTGCTATGCCAAGATTTTTTTTACTAATTTTTTGATAAAATTATTTTTACGTACGTGTATATATTTTACATTAACACAGCATAATAAATCATGCAAAAGCATTAGTAAGAAAAATAGGAAACTTCTAAATGTGAAACATTTATAAATCTTAATATTAAGTATACAGTCTTATAGCCTGTCTTATATATGTTAAATTTATATATACAGTCTTATTTTCATAATAAAAAGTGTGATTGCGCTTTAAATGAAATATTAATATTTATAACATTTGCTTTATATATATCATACATTAACATTATTAACAACTTGATCTTATATATACATAATTTTTTATTAAAATTAATTTATTTTACATGTAGTAATATACTAAAAAGAGAGCAAAAATGAAGAAAGAGTGAAAAAAAAGTTCAGATGGCAGTACTGTTATACTCGCTGATTTCGCGCATGCGTACTCCATTTTATGTTACACAAACATCAAAGGTGCCGACAGAGAGTTGTGCTATTGTATATACTGTGATATTACTTCTATAACAACTGTGGAACGCTAGCGAATTTTAAGCAACACTTACTGTAAACGCATTTTAATTAAGCGAAGAACTGTAGTGACATTGGTGCAACTGAACTTAAGACGTTTCAATAAATAGAATCTTATATAATACAAATTTAAACAATTAAAAAATGCGTAAAAAGATTTAAAACCTAGAACATTAGGTTTGTTCTTCTTGCTTACACTTCGTACACTATCGTGTAAAGTGTACACTTTGGCGTTCTTCTTGTCGGAAATGACGTAGAGTTGTGCGATTACACTGGATTACACGCTGTTCGTCTTGAAAAGTGGATCACACTTTTATGACGAATTTTACACTGGTTTACACGAGCCTGAGAGGTGGTGTACGCAGTGTAAAGTTACACTAAGAGGTTATAGTTTTCCACGATTGCTTCCTAATTTTATTTTTTACAATGGAAGAAGTCGTATAAGTGCCTAAAACGGCAATAGTATTTCGAAATGCCGATGAATCAATAATTATTGATGAAGAAGGTTACATAACATGCCAAACCGACAGTATGTATACATTTTTAATTGTTTTATTTACATATGTGTTTTGTTAATTGTATGTATACATTTTTAATTGTTTTATTTACATGTGTATCATGTTAATTTGTAGGTGGGCTAACTTTTAAAATACACACTTCCGAAATAGATTTGAATGGTCCACCCATTACATGTACTTTGGATAACGAAAAAGTTTTAATAGTATTAACATCTACACACAGAACAATAGACACACCGGACACTAACATTTCCAATCAAGAAAATCAGAAGCCAAACGTCATTCAACACAATTTTGAAATTTTTACATGAAATGATGCGAATACCAAACTATTTTTATCACTCTACAAGGAGAAGAAAGAATTAGTTAGTTCTAGAAGAATTAAAAATTTTAAAGAAATGTGGAAGCGTATAAGCGACGAGATGAGAAACTCGGGATACGACGTGACTCCTATACAAGTGGAAAATAAATGGAAGACTTTAGAAAGACAATATAAAAAAGTTATTTCCAATAATAATAAGACAGGAAGAGGGCGGATTACCTGTAGTTACCAAACGTTTACGTATAGCTAAAATTGAAATAATAATAAATCATAATAAATTGATGCTTTATTTTTACTTACATGCTTTTACAGGGAACTGACAGAAATTTTGGGAAAGAGCCACAAAATAGTTCCACTTGCTGTGGCGGGTCCGGAAATAAGAGTAATGGTCCGAAATAGTATATCAGATCTCAGGACTTTATTGAATAACAGGTTTGTTTCGTAAATACTAATATCATCTATGAATTGTGATTTAAGTATATTTATTATTGCATATTTTGAAAATTGTTCATATATTTTCATATATTATCATTAATTTTTGAAAATTAATTTTATTTTTTAACTTTAGTGCGCCGATTTTAATGCCAGTATCGACAACAATTGTATTACCAACCACATCAAACGTAGAAAAAGAGAGGAACCTGAAGATATGCCTGTGGCTGATGAAAGTGAAGTAGTAACCGTACCTGAAAATGCCAACCTCGTTGCTGTTGCTAAAAAAGAATCGCCACTGGAACAACGGCAAAGGCATTGCAACAGTGCCAAAAAGAGATGCAAGAATACAGGAAGACACTCGAAAAACGCGATGAAAATCAAGATAAAATGTTATCACAATCCTGGAAACCTATAAATCAATAAAAGATAGACAAGAAAAACATTTGACCGCAATAGAAAACCACAGAAAGGAAACTATTCAACAAAGACAACGAAGAAACGACTTATTGGAAGAAAAAAATTCATTGAAAGAATTTTTAAATTTATTTTTAAAAAATTAACCAGTGTGACGTGGCGACTCTTCTTTTCAGTAAATTTAGCCGACGATTATATTATTTTATTCCATTTATTTTCCACTTGTATTGCAGTCACGTCATATCCTTAGTTTTTCATTTCGTTACTTATGCGTTTCCACATTTCTTGTACAGTGTTGAAAACAGCTTTGTATTATATTTGTGAAGTTTATTGTTTATTGTTGATTTAATGGAACAATTTAATAAAAGAATTTTTATATTAATATGAAATAAGGATTTTTATTGAAACACATTTATTATTTATAATTCACAATAATATAATATATAAGGCCTTTAAAAGATAAATTTACATAATTCTTATTTAAATAGAATGTACAATAATTGAGACATTTATTGTGCTGCGAGTTGTCTACATATTTCATCTCTAAGTTCTCGTCCCTGTTGATTATCCTGCGGTATTGCATTATCTCCAACCATATTAATCAGTGCATTTACAGCATCAGGATCAGGTTGATTTTCATCGGGAGGTGGTTCAAATAACTGTAAATCATTAGCATTCGCCATATTGTGCAAAACACAACATGCATGCACAACCTGAACCATTCGAACAATGTCTCGTAACTTAAAATGGTACAATTGACGAAATCGCTGTTTCAGATTACCAAATGCATTTTCGATAATAACTCGACATGAACTCAATCTTTGGTTAAAATTGATTTGAGCTCGTGTCAAATGTCCGTTATCTCTATACGAAACAATCAACCGTTGTAAACAGGGATACGCACTATCTCCAAGCAAGTATCCATCTTCTGCAAATTAAAAAAATTGGTTCAGTAAAAGATTGTACACTAAGTCTCTTTACAATAGCATCCGAATATACATTTTGATATTATTTTAATCTAAAAAAAATTACGTCACAAACCTCCACAAAGTTCATTCAGTCTATTGTACACAGGCGATTCCCTGAAAACCTTTGCATCATGAACCGATCCAGAGTACCGATAAACACATTCATAAACTTTTGTCCGTGGTTCACAATGCCTTGTAACTGAATGGAAAAAAATTGTTTCCTATTTATGTACAAATCTTTGTCTTCTATTGGTTTGTCGATTCGAATGTGCGATCCATCTATGGCACCTGTAATAATGAATTATTTAGTAATGAAATAATCGAAATTCTATATGTATGAAATAGTACTTTTGAAATATACCTATTACTCCAGGAAATCTGTTTTGCATTGTAGAAAAATGTTCTTTAATGGCTTCTCTCTCTTGCATTGTAGGAAATCTGATGACATTTGGTGCAAGAAGATATTAAAAAATTTGTGATCCGGGATATAACATTGTACAGCGCACTTATGGTAATCCCAATTTATCTGCTACATCCGATAGCCACTGCTTTCATGTCCAACGTACCAAAGAAAACTTATGATATTTTTCTCTGGAGAAATAGGCTCGTAGCCTGCATAAGCTGTGATAACATACATAGATATAATAAGATATTATATTCATAAAATATGCAACTAAAATATGTTATTATAAATAATATTAATGTATGTGGAACTCATAATTATGATATAATTACCTTGTAATGCCAAAAAAATTGAGATGCTGCAAAACGATTGATCAATTCATTGGTCCTTCTCGTGAATAAGCGAAAGTGCATAATGAAATCACGTCTCAGTGTATAAAATGTACAACATTTTT